ACTTAATAGATTACGCTAAAAGTTTAACAGTAAACGCGTAAACAGTAATTTCAGCCTTCTCTCAGTTTGTGGAAATATATGTAAATAAATTTAACACGATTACAAACTTTAAAGTCCCCCGAATTCATATGCACAAATTCACGCAGGTACCTTGTGGTATTTTTTTAAACACTCTAATCAAAGTATATAAGCATTGAAAATAAGATACTGATTCGAATTGTTAATGTTGCAAAAAATCTTTTAATTTTTTTCATGCGTTTAAAAGATATACATAACTTGTAAAAATCGGATTAAACAGACAAATATTTATCAAGTGGCACATGTTTGAAAATTTGCGTCGAAAATTACAGTGAACTTTCAACGTCTTTTTTTATAAAAAATTTGCAAAATCTGTAAAAATTAAGGGCAGAATTAAATTCTATGGCCTTTTTACGATATTTTAGCATAGAAAAATTTGTGATTCATAAATTTCAGTTTTCTGATTTTCTTCCATTAGAGGAAATAGTGTGCGTCGCACAGTGACCCAAAATCGCTAAAACCTAGGTAAAACCTCGAAAATCGTCTGGTATCTCTATGAGGATACGGAAAGATAGGGACTTAATCACTTCCACTTACAAAATTTCCGGACTTTAAAAATCGCTGTCATTGGTCACGCAGTTGTCGTGTGTTTAAGTGCAATTTCATAAAATGAAGTATGAATTGAATAACTTTTGAAAAAATGTATCAAATTGAATTCTATAAAATCGTTGCCATTCGTGGAAGTAAGTAGAATGTTATAAATGCAAAATTACTTAAGATAGTTAAGAGAAATGTTTTGTAATTGCAAAATGTAGTACAAGAAATAAGAGCTTGAACGTAATACATAGACATTAAATATGTAAAGTACAGTTTGTGTATCCCGCCATATCTAGCAAAAATTCTTGTTCAGGCTTATAGTTTGTACTTTTATCTTAGAGTATTTGTAAATAATAGCTGCTATTTAGATGATGAAAATTTTTACAATTAATTGTAATATTTTAATTTTCCTTCTATATAAAATATCTAGTTTTGTATTATATTATACCCTATACTTTTTAATTAGTGTAATGAATTTGTAAATATTAATTTTCAATAAAATTGTTGATATTAATTATTAATAATTTTTTTTAAATATTAAGTTTAGATATGTAATCAGCGACCTAAAAAATCCCGAGTATAGACTTTTGATTCGACTGAAATGTGTTTAGAGATTCTGGCCAGATTTTATCCGTTTGGGAGCATTGCGCGCCACCATATTGATCGTAAGTTTTTGGCATTATGGACGTCAAATAAATATATATTTGTGGAGGCTTGCTTGTTGCTTCTGATATTTCTTGACGCTTTTCTAAATAGATCATTGCGTCCATTCAGAACTATTGATATTCAATTTACGCGAAATGTGAAAATTTTTAAATACGATGTAATGCAATTTTAAAATGCTTATTTTGAAACAGTACATTTTAATTAAAAACTTACTTTATTCATTATTAAAGCAGTTTCCGTTACCTTATAATCCATTTTGAATCCAATCGCGCAAATCAGCAGGATGAATGTTGAGTTTTAAAACATATTATTACAAGTTTGTTTCAAATTAAATGTATAATTTTAAATTAATACGTTTGCAAATATTCTTGTATTGATCGAATATTTCAATCAGAGTTTGGTACGTTATATAAATGACAGTCACGCATTAAATAATAATGTCATTATTAGTTAATATATTACCATCATCCCTCAAATGACAAAACCATTTTTGCGGGAAATGTAAAACGATCAAATGGAACCGAACAGAGCGAAGAGAAAAAGATACAACAGAAAATATTGGCAATAAGATTCTTTATCTCTCGTTAGAATCTCTGTTAAGAACCTAGTAACAAATACAATATCGTCTAATATCTTGGAATTTCCAAATTCCACGCACGGAAATCCAAGAATTACGTTTCGTCGTTAAATCCTAGAATTACGATGGCCGCTCACGTAAAATCATAAGAATACGCAGGATGCGCCCGGCTTAAAAGATAGAAGAAACGAAACCCATTTCCGGAACAAACGAGCTCCATCGTTCGGAACGTGGAAGGAGGGGAACGATATCCCCGGAATTAATTACAAACTGTGAGAGCTTAAAAGTCTCCGAAACCGAATCATCCTTCCGGTCCCGTTCATCGGACATCCAGATAACTCATTCGCGCCGATGGAAACTCCGCGAGAGTAGAGTTCGTCGCTCACAAAGGCCGAACTGTTACGGTATCCGATAGGCGTCGTCGATTTTCGTCGGATGGAAGCTTTGTCATCTGCTTCGCCAGATTCGTTCGCCATACATTCGCTGCCTGCCCCCCTTTTTCTCCCAGAATCCTAGCCTGGTTCCTCCTCGCGTCGCCACGTAGCCCACCGAACTCTCGATACCCTATCTCCCCGGTCATTGTATGCAAATCTATTCCATTCGTGGAATCGAACTGGCCTTTTTCTGATGTCTAGCTTGATAGCCGCGAGAACGATCGTCTTCGCCGGTATATCTGGACGTTTCACCGCCGTGGGGTTTCCCCTATAAACAACCGCGGCGTGCCGCGGGGGACCGTGTCCGCCGGCTTTCGGAGGAAACCGGGACATTCGGTACAGACCTCCACTATGAATTTTATGTACAGGACAATCATTTCGGCTGGACGGTCGCCTGATGCACTTTGAATCGGTTTGCATCACGACCTATGTTACCTTTTGCTCGGCCGGATAAATAGATTCGAACCGCGTCCTCGAGCCATTAAAGATTTCGCAATCGAACCGTGCGTTCAAAACTGTTTCAACAGAGTATTAGCCTTTTTCAAGCGGAAAGATCGATTCTTTTGTTGCGCACTGTTAAATTGTAACTTCTCTGGAACAAGTGTGTGCAAACATTTATTTGGAACGTTGAGAATTCTGGTAATTATGAAATTTCAGAAACAAGTACGTGACAGCCGAAAATTATTTTGCATCGGAACAGCCCTAGTATTAAACACCTACGAAAGCAGGGAAGAGAATAGAAACGTAACTGTCAAATGCAAGAAAATATGTAAAAGATATTGGTGACAACGATTGTGAAAAATGTTTATTTTGAAAATAATGTATAATGAAAAAATGTCGAAGAAATAATATACACGTCCAACAATATTTTTCTGATAGTAAATTCTTTTTACTACGAAATTACAAACTTTAGAAAATTACTCTTTTTGTAGCTTCTTATAAAATTTTGGCTCTGTTTTACCATTTATTTTTTAAAATTTGGAAACGTTAATTCTTGAAATTGGCCTTTTTAAAAATATGTATAATTGGAAGTGCGTCATTCTTGGCAGTTTGTATTTTCAGTCAATCATTTAAATTTGTCTTATCTATAATGATTATAATGGGTATAAAAGTAGGAAGCACGTTCTCCCAAATGGGAATAACCCTTCAAGGATATCGCCATGCGGTTTTGGCTGTAATCACTAGTTTGGAAGATTTGCACGTTCCCAGGACCCAGAAGGTTTTATAGCTATTACGTGAAATCCAATGCAATGGCAGCCTCCGGACTCTGTGGGTTTCTGGACAATGTTATCTGTTGTTGCCATTGACTATTGTGGAATTGAGTTTATCGAAATTCGATACAAAACGTTTCCTCAAAACGAAAATATACAAGCTAAAATAGAAACGTGAAAAACATTTTTCAGAGTAGAACCGTTCCATAAGAATATTTTTCAACTGCAATTGAAATAATTTGTATAAAATAAATACAATACCTTTTTATTATGAGGAATAGGATGTTGGTCTACAATTTCATAAACGTAAGAGTTCTCCACTCAAGACTCTATTTATAAATTGATAATCGAAATATAAATAATAAAAAAATCGATACATAAATATAAATTTGCACCGACAAATCAATAAATCTATCGTATCGGAAGTAAAAGGTTTTAGTTCCATAAATGAAAATAAACAAAATAAAGAATTCAGAAGAAAAATAATCAACAACTCAACATTTTAGTTACTAGCGGATATTTAATAATTTTTTTGGAGATATCAACGATCAATACTTGATACTATTTCTTAATCAATTTTTCAATAAGAATATCAATTATACTCTCGAACCAGTAAGTTATTTTGAGTGACATAACCCTTTTTGATATATGTAGTGCAGCCATCGCAAAGCCTATTATAGGCTTCTGATAGATAAAGTATCAACAGACGCGCCTATCGGATGGCAGTACGCTCGTATGGAAAGCGCCAAGTTACTTGAAAATTTCACAAAGTTATCCAAAAAAGTGTGTGTAGAACAGAAACTACAGAAGAATCTCGGCGATTCGATTTAATTGAGTGACTAACAGTCCAGACAGACGGAGACCCTAGAAGAAATTCCTCAAAGCATGTTTCCAAAATTTGACTGTACATATTCCAAGGCACAATTTAAAAGTTCCAATTATTAAGTTTGAACGATGTAGATCGCGGAAGATGGCAACCCTGTTAATCTTCATTTTACAGTAAGAAGAAAAGCAGAAGGTCGCAATGGCAGTGTCGCAGCTGCCACAATAATTTGGTTATAGGTTTCAGGTGTTGCCACCATAGCCCTTTATTCCACGAATAAAGCTGTCCAATCAAAGTGAAATAACCCCGTGGCGAATATAATTTTAATTAATCGAGCTCTCGCCTATGCCGTTCTCGTCCCTCCGTTACTCTCAAACAATCATTTCACTTTTCAACGGTCCACCTTCGCCGGATGGCGGAACAAATCTCGCGTAAAATCACGTCCCGTGTAATCGAGCGTTCTTTACGGCTATAAAATGTTTATCGCGCGGCGTGGCGGAAGAACGAGATGAAGGAAGTGGCGGTGGCACGATCGAGCCGCTGTAACAACGGAACGGAATGCAAATTGCTTCAGCGATACAGGTACGCGACTGTACGTATAAATGTGTATATAAATGTATATGTACTTGTGTATCTATATGTATATACACTTGCGTGTGTGCGTATATACTTACTTTTCCTTCTCGCTGGCTTCCGGCAGTAAAAATTTGACGGCGACGAGACGCTTTCCAACGGTGGTCGTCGTTCCGTATTCCGGAATCCCTTCAGCTTCCGCCACGTACACCTTTAAAGGGCATAATTTGCTCACATTACACCGGAATTATTTTGTACGTTATTCTAGGCCAGAGTTGGGCAGCATGTAATCTAATTATTTTATGCTTTTACTTATTACAAGGCAGCGGATTTTATACACTTACGACAAATATGAGTGCACAGAATATAAACTAGGGGAATATTCATTAGAATTTAGGAACGTTGTTACTTTATTTTCAAATCGTTAATATTCTTAAGAAAAGGAAACAGACTCTATTTAAATTGATCAGTTTCTTATATTGACTGATAACTATTACAAGACTGTGAGCAACTTATATAAGTTGCGCTCAAAATTTTATGCAATTGTAGTCGAACTATCTAGACTTGTGCTATCTTTTATAGATAATTATTAACCTATACTGAATGTAAAATTTGGAACTACTTACTTAGTTCCGTACTACGGAACGTACTAACTACGTACTTTAATTCAAGTATAGTAAAACTATATCGCAGTTAACTATTCGAAGAATAAACAAAAAGAAGTAGGTTCAAATAAGTATTATCGTAAAATATGACTATGAAAAGATCCATCCATGGTCGTCCGCGGTTCTTTCTTCCGATATCTTATAAATTGAGCTAGAATTGAGCTAATTACGGTGAGTTCCAATTAATAATTATAGTTAGAAATTTCCAGTGAAATAAAAATTTCATTTTAATCATTAGTCATGACATCTAATCAGATTATATTTTGCCTAACATTCGTCCAAGCGAACGAAGAAAAGTTTGATCGACAATCAGCTCACTGGACTTAGTACGTTTACTATAGAAGAAAAATCGAGAAACCGGAACGCTTCGTTCCGTTATAGTCATAAATTCGTCTAACGAGAATAGATGATCCCTGAATTCGATTACTCGTCGCTCGTGAATTTATTGCACAACATTGGACCGGGCGTTTGCAGCACTCACAGCGGGTAGTCCGACCGGAAGTCGAGGGAGCGATTAACACTCGCACAACCGTCGAAGGGAAACTGGCATTAATTGGTTAGTTGGTATTTACAATTTTTATATTGCTCGTTCGAGTTGTGAAACTGTTTATTTGGAACGTCAGTGTTCATCAATTGCTTTTGATTTATTATTTTCTATTGAGGTATGTATTGCAAGCTTTTATTTTTTTTGAGAAGGAGAAGCAGGTTGTTAGGATTACTTCGTTTCTTGATAAATTATTACGTTTTTAAGTATGTAAGGAATAGTGTGACAAGCAATTTATCGATTGACATAGTGTTTCTAAATAGCTTATAATTATGTTTCTTTATCGAAATCCAAATGAGAAATAATCCATTATTTATAAATAAGGAGCAAAGGAATAAACAATGTTCCATACCATCTGAATGACTTTTATCTCAATGAAAAACTTATTGTCATTTACAATTACAATCAAACTCCGTTTATACGAACTTGTCAGAAACAAGTTGGTTCATATAATCAGGTCGTTATATATGTAATAAATAGTTCATTCATTTGTTCATTTATAACAAGTCTCCACAAAATATTTACCCTTAATTACATAATAGTGTTACAAACTTTAGAAATTGAAAAATTATAAAAATTTGCAAGTATAATTCTAATTCTAAAAAGTAAACGTAATACCTAACAAATAGCTTGTGATAATTAATACAATATATTAGCATGAAATTAATTGAAGATCTTGCAGGGGATAAAATAATAAATAACTAACATTACAAAAGTTAACTTCTCATTAGACGTTCATTTCAATGGACAAATAGCATAGATAATAGAAATTGTACTAGTATTCAGTTAATCAGTCACTATTAAAATTTCGTTCGTATAAACAAAGTTCGTGTGTAAAATCATACTTTGACGTCAGCGTGTACCACCGGTGGTTCCAAGCAAGTTGCCGCCAAATATTACTCTTTTTATTTTAGTAACACATTTCAAATGCGTAAATATGAACTACAGTTCGAAAATAAAGATAAACTGTAATACTTTTGAAGTTCAGTTATTTACATCGATTTTGATCACATTAACGAGTGATTTTCCAATAGAACCGGCCGATACGGTAAAACAGAACTTTGTTCAGCTTTGACTCTCAAGCATTTCATTGACAAGCACGTTGCTCATTGCGCGTAGCAACGGGTTGCCGAGATTGGCGCGTTTGACGTCGAAGTCGCGATTGCGTGCAGGCGGGTATGCAACAGTCGAGGCTGACGCGGCTGAAACGCGGGCAAGGCGTCTCTCGGCCAATCATTAACGACGTGTCGGCGCGGCGCGGCGGCCGGGTAGGAAACAAAAGGGAATTATTAGCCGCTCTAACGCGCGCTAAACTGATTATTCTCGACGAGATAGACGAGGCGCTATTGTGACGGGAAGAATAACAGCGCAGACACTTCGTTAATCGACGTATTGTTGCGCGCGCGTCCGATGGCGAGTTGGCCGTGCACAGCCAACAAGCGGATTGATTTCTCTGTCGTCGTTTAACAACGGAAAGGCGAGCCGGCGGGTTACGTTTGCGAGTCGAACCGATGTGCCTCTATCTGTTTGCGATCGCGACTCGCGAACTCGCAGTTTGTTGCAACGTCGCGTTGCAACGGTTGTGTGTAATTCAACCCTCGCGGCTCGATGACGTTACACTAGCTATGCCCCGCGTCAGCGCGGTAAAGTGACACTCCAGAACATGGAAGTGTATTATGATAATGTTGCGGAAATTGTCTGGACCGAATTTGCTTTGACGCTGCGAAACAGCGATGCCGGGATTCGCGCGTTAAGGTTATCGAGAGTTTCAGTTTAAATGAAATATGATACGGGTGGAAAGAACGTACAGGTAGTTAGTGGTAGCGGAAATAATTATAGCTGTGATCAGCTAACACAACAACCACTGTTAAGTTTGGTCATTAACTGCTTGCTAATTATGTGGAACAATTTTTTGGTTTCGAATAGTTGTTTGTGCAGTATTAGATTATTTCACCAAATGCTTACTAACGTGTTAAAAACATTATTTGCAAAGAAATACGAGTTATCCATTTACCTGAACGATTAGTAAAAAGAGTAAGCAAACTAACTAAAATTTAGAAACACTTGGAAAGTAAAATTAGTTATTTTAACCTATGATCGATTCACATAAGTATCCAAAGAATGATCTATCTTCAAATTTTTACGAAACATTTTAATGTGAATAATTTTTATGAAGTTCAAATTAATTCCTTCTAATAGCGATTGCACCCTGGAGCTAACAAAATAACAAAGAACGTAATCATCGATTCACCCGATACGGAGTGTAGTACTAAGGTTCAATCATTGCGAGATAATTCATTATTAAAGTAGCCATGATAAACCGCCAGTCCCGATCATTCTGTGGGCGTGTCTAATTTAAAATAGATGTGTCCAACTATAATAACAATGTCGTTACCGTTCCGAAAGCCCCTTCGGCAAGTTTCGAGAGCATGCGGAGGCGATGCCGTGGGAAGAGCGGGACGCTGGTCTGTTCCAGACGTCTCTTCAGGGCCGAAAGCACCTCCTGTTGAGTCGGGGACTGAAACAGAAAAGAACAATGCATCGTTCCGTGGTATCGACCGATAATTGACGATCTATGATCACGCTAACCGCGCCAAAAGCGTAGGGGTACACAGGGGGTTGGCGCAGTACGATCGTCGGATGAATTATTCCTCGATCTCCGGCCCCGTAAATTCACTTTGATCTATTATACCGTCCCAACAGGTTTACAATAATTTAAGTGGCGGGATTGCTGCTATAAATTTCGATGAATCTCTACTTATCAAGGCACTTCATTTTGGCCTCTGACAATTGACATGCTTGTCCTGTATCGTCAATGAAAGTGATCCAAATTCATGGAAGCATTATAATATGAGATAATATAATGTAATGATAAGTTCAGCAATGTAATTTACATAATATTTACTCTTATTTCTTGAATTTTCTAGCTGTATTTCTAATTCGGAAAACAGAAACCAGTGTAGAATTGCGACGTGGTAAATAAAGGAATTTCGAATTATCGATAAAAGAACTGATGTAAGTATTTACCTATGTCTGTATGCACAAAGTTTTGACATAAACAGAGTTAAAGTGAAATCAGTGATTCTGCTGCTTTCAACTTGTTGATGGAACAAGATGAATTAACTCATTCGTATTCAATTTTCTCGTCCTGTAACTTTTTCTTTTCTCGTTTATACCACTGACAACTCTTACATTTTGTTCAATCACATCTACAATACTATCTACAAACTATATTTCCTTAATGCTCATCACTATAAAACGTTGACCAGAAGTATTGTTCAATTAAGAGGCTGATGAAGAGTCGTTTAATCGTTTGAAATATTAACGACGAAAAAGTAAAGTATCTTACAAGCAAATTCTAAAATGTTTTAGTTGTGAGTGTATAGAGAGATATCGAGTAATTTCTATCATGCTCGTGTATCGCGAGATACACGTTTGTCGTTCGTGCGACGGTTCCCGATGACGCCGATTGTCCCGTAATGCTTGCTGTTACCGAACACGGTGACACAAAAATGGAGACCGGGATCGCGACGAGGGTCCACCGAAAGGGCCAATCGTACGTGACGGGTATAACTTCCGACGTCTGGCCATTGTAAAGCTACATCGATAGCCCGCGTTTCGTCGTTTTCGGTGTACACCCGTTTCGGTCTAATGACGGATCACGCCGTGGACAATGATTGGCGTAGCCTACGATGCGTCAAGGCCAGGCCCGACGCGCGCCCACCCGAAATGTTTTGACTGTTTCGAGTGGTGCTGTCGGGTGTCAATCACCCGCAGACGTCCCGACGTAGACGACCACTTTCGGAGCATTGTGCTCGAATCAATCTAGTTGCACGCCGCGGGAATCGCGTGACCGATTCGTGGTCCCTTCGTTCGACTGGATACTAACCCACTACGTACGATCCTTCTTCCCGAGAGGCGCCATCGTTTATAAGCTCACCGGACACTTTGTTCTTTTGAGGGAGATAGAAATTATTGCATGACCCTGTCTGCCGTTTTATCATTACTTGAATATCTTCCGACCCAAGACTACATCTTGTACTTATGACTCAACTCGAGATATCTGCTTCGAAGGCAACATTGATAATTAAACATTCTTACATATTATAATTAGAGATATCTCAATATTCATTTGTAACACGTCAATTGACGTTGTAATTCGGTTTTTTTTCAGTTGTTGTATCCACTTTGTTTAATTATTCATTAAATCTTCGTTTTATTACACGTTAGACGAGTGACGTAGGTTTCAAAGAGGGATTAACCAACTTAAATGGCATTCGATTGTTTTGAATCAAAAAGTAAATATTGGAGTAAACGTAGATGCAAAACGGGTATGCAATTGTTTTGTTTATTTGTCTTGATTTTTATACCGTGTTGTATGTTATTATTTTGCAAACATTATGAAATTTACTAATATTACAATGATTATTATATAATATTACATTTTTACGCTAACGTATAATTAATTTACAGCAATTATGTTAATGATTAATCGAAGCGAATGTATACGCACCCTCCGATTAAGGGTTGACATGGTTATTACGTGCCGTAGATTATTTATTTAATAGCAAAAATCAGTACAATGCAATAAAATACGTTTTACAGGTAAAAAGGACGCGAATAAAATCACCTGTCAACATATTTGTGATGATATCGGTTTGTCAGGTGTGGTATTTTAATAAGGGGTTAAGACTAAAGTATGTAGTGCTAGGAAGTGCAGCTATGGAAGAAACCATAAAGCAAGGAGTTAAATCGTCAATTTATTATGATACATTAATATTAAAGTGTGGCAGCTGTATTCACGAATGAATTAAACTTATGTTGTAAATTATACATTACACTAACTTGGAGGTCAGGTTATGCAAATACATTTTGAAGCACTTTTTTATGGAGCTGCAGTGTATGTGTTGAACTACCTACTTCAGTTTCTTTATTTTTATGCAAGATTTTCTTGAAACACCTGGAGGGTCTTATATTTTATAGGTATGTTCACATTAGAATTTATAAGAACTTGAAAATTAAACGTCACATTTTAAAATTAATTCATCGCGGCGTATAATTTGCAAATTCATGCAGTGTATCGTTTTCTTATGTTATATTAAAAGTATGCAAGGTGATACCGAAATCGTAGTACTCATAAGCAGGAAAGGTGAAAATATACAAAAAAATATCTCTACTTAATAATTTCCAAAACTTTCGTACCAGTACAATTATTTAATAATATATAAGTTTCTGGTTAAATTCACGAACCGCAGTATAGATGAGCATTTTGTGAGGCTGTTTTTATTATAACTTGTGGGATGTTAGAAGTTGACAATTAGATATATTATATGATCAACCATATCAAATGTTCTATAGCAAATGCTTCATATTTGTTATTTCGTCACTCCGTTATATGAATTTGATGTAAAAAGACGTTAATATGATGTGCGTCATATTATATTAATTTATTGTTGTAGAAATATATTGCGTTTAGAAAAATTCTCTTACGCGTTTTCGTAACATAGTGCTCTAATCAATTTAGTTATTTTCTGCGGAAATCGAACGTGCGATTTGAGATCTCATCATCGACGTGAATATGTAAGAACCTTCTTTGACGAGTAGAGAGCGAGCGAAACGACAGGGTATCCATCGGTTCTGGATTTCCGAAGAAGCAGGAGGCAGTCATTTTCGAATATTAGGCTTAGAGGAAGCAATTCGTCGACGCTCTGAATGGATCCTTGCTGGTCGAAAGATGCTGTAAGTGTGAAAGTACAGCTACTTAGAAGATCGATGTCTTGCATACCAAGTTATTCAGTTCAGAACGGAGAATCTAGACGAAGAAATTCCACTTCAACGACTATCCTTTCCAAATTTCAAATTTCTTCCATAAAACGATCTCAATAAAACATTGATTTTGAAAACTTTTGAAGTACCAGTGATTAAAGTGTGCATTTTAATTAAAGATTGAAAAATTAATTGAATGAGATGATTGTAAATTAATCAAGTACTTGTTTAATTTATGGTTATGTGTTAAATCAGGAAAAAATAATAATCTAACAAATACGTCATTTTAATTATAAAATTAAAGTGTGATTATGTCATGATCGACATAAAGTATGAGTGTTATTGTTATTTACATACAAATGGTTCGATATAATGTTCAATTGCAATTCTATAAACATTTTGCATTAATGCAGAGTTCGTAAATATGTGACAATATTATTAATAATGTTAATAGTTTAATCATGTATGTAAACTGATAAATTAGATGTAAACCACTAAATTAATTAATGTATAAATAACTAAATAACTAAATACGTATATATATTTATTTATAAATATAAATATATATACATATATTTTATAAATAAATTTAATAATTAATTAGATACAAACTAATAAAAATTATCGTTCTTTTTTCTGTACAAATTTTTTATGATTTTAAGTCAAGTTTATGCCACATAACATAACCATATCTCACAGTAACAAGAAATTACAAATTATAATTAATAGTATAAGATAAGAGAAAAAATGGTCTATAGTTCACTATTGTTCAGAGTTTTTTCTTTGTCTTATGAGATGTTAAACAAGCCTATGTGCCCTGTGACATTAATATGAAATCATTGTGTATATTTTACTACAAAATCTCAAGTTTAATATTCACTATTTTTACTTATTCCAACGTATAATGAAATGTAGATACGTGCTACTTAAAATAATTAAACTGAAATTCGTGCATAAAGTAATTAAACTGAATATTTCAAATGGCATATTTACATGTTGAATTCCGGGATTACATTAGACTATATCATTATGACATGTAGGGATCAATGGCCGTATCAGACCGATCATAATGGTCGAGCCTGGTCGTGTCGACAGATATACAAAATAGGATCAACGAAATTGGAAGGCCGTGGCCTTCAGAGTTGTTGTCAAAACAGCAAGTGTGTCCACCATTGCGCGAATGTGATGTATGGATGCGAAAAACAAAGAGAGTGCAAGAGAGGGGGAAAAAGGGAGAGAAAGGGTACATGAAAGAGAAAACGAATGAGAATGCGTAGATATAAGGTGCGAAAGGTAGAGGGAGCAGATGACTTGTGTATACGCGATAACGGTAACGATACTAGCGATACTGCGAATTTTCTGTTAATATTCCTTTACTTATTTATTCTAAACATATATATCGTTTTATTAAAAACCACGAAACTTCAATATGTCCCCATATACTGTTCCTACATGACATTATATTACAATTGAATTATCATTAATAACATATTTAATACCGAAAATACCTAATTTACATACTGAATGTAATTACGTGATTACATTAGAATTTCATTATCATATAATAGCACATTCAGCATTGAGTAGAATCTTTTTTAGTACGCGGGTATAATACGCGCCTTTATCTCAACACACCACACCGAGCAGAAATGACGCGCTCTATACTTTCGGTTTCACGGCAATTGATAGAAGATTGACGGCAGCGCGGAAAGTGAAAGATTCCGACTGGAATTTTCACGTGCAGATTGGTTGACCTTCCGTCCCCTTCCGCGGAAGTCGTTGATTTAGAACTTGATGGCACCGTGCGCCGAATATACGTCGGAAAATGTACGCGACTGGGGCCGGTGTTCCCGAAAAATACGTCGCACTCGTCTGTCGTGCCCTCCGCGTACGCGCAGCAAGGAATAAATCACCGGTGTGCTACAAATTTCGCGTGGCGTATTTTTATTCCGGCAGATCGCGGCGGTGCGATTTAGGCGCAGGTTGTCGAATCAACCCCCCTGGCTGCCCCCTCGCGTAATATTCCCGCGATGTCGGCACGCGAGCCGACGGAGATGGAAACACCGGCACTGCGAATGAAACGGGAACAACGGAGAGCGAGGGAGAGAGAAAAAGAGAGAGAAAGGGAGAAAGGGAGAGCGGGTAGATAGGATTGCAAACGTGATTACACGACGCGCTTTCTCTCCGCAATTAACAGAGCGTACTGGTCCGGAAGGCACCGGACCGCGTAATGATGATACATTCCACGAGGGTTGCTCCGAGGGCATCCACGAAAGGGTTCGACGCATCCCGTTGATGGCAGTTCGTTTATATATCGGCGAATCGATCAATCGAATGATTCTGCAGATTGCGCGGAAGCGGGCCTGAATACGCGATACTTTACTTGTTTGGCTGTGAGTAACCTTTGGCGGTGCTTGTCGCGCTTTAGGCTTGGAGTTGAACGCGTGTATGGCGGGAGTCTTTATTTCGGTATGTCATTGTGGTGATTATTTAGGGTCACTCATTCAGCATTTTGATATACTGTTGTAATAACAACCTATGCCTGTACCTATGCTTACAACTGATGACCAATTATATTTTCTGGGAAATATTTTTATGTTATGATTTGTTCGTGGTTGAGTATCGATGTCCATATTAACTATGATACTTTTAAATATTTTTAAATTCCATGGATCTTCAAAATATATATTTTATAGTTAGAAATTTGCATATTTGTATGTTAGTAAACGCAATGAATGTAATATAATAAAAGGTTTTAAATTGTAGCTCGAATAGAATCGCGGTACGTGTAAGTTTCATATCCATTCCGCGAGAAATATCGATATACAGTTACTCACTAATAACTCCGAACAATATATATTTTATATATATGACCGACATTAAAATTAATTTAGCTCGTGTGATTTATATTTTTATAAAGTTTATCTCACATCCTATAAGTTAGAGTATATTCAATTAAAAAGTTACATAGATTAATAAAAAACATTCTTTGCAATCCTTTCGTGAATAATAGTAGCGATTTTTTCGAGATTCTGTCGAAATATTGGACAATTTGAAGAAGACTCGGGTGATATCGATCCGGCGCTCTTTTATTAACCTTTAGTCGCAATCTGGCAATTTTTTATGCGAAAAGGGAACCCTGGGGAACGTCTAGCGCGTTCGACGTCGACCTGTTCAACGTGCGTACCTCTTTCGCTTTTTTCCCAACCCTCCGTTTTCACCTTCTGGGAGTCAGCGCGCAGTGCTCCGATATTCCGGATATACGGTACGTTGTACTTGTTAGAGTGAATACGTATTAAGTGGATAGTGAAGCGAAGCGCCACTCGAAAGATTTATGGTAGATTTTATCATCAATGTTCGATCTCGAAAGAAGACGAATGAGAGCAAACAGAGCTGTCGACGGGTAATGGCTAGTGACTACATGAGTCATCCAGCTATCGATTGTCACAGGGATCTATCTGTTTGATACAGGTTATAGTGGAAGTCAGAAATGGCAATCAGCTCGACGTTGAGTTGTTCCAACGCGTTCACTGGCGCGTCAGCAATTCGTGGACGATACAATTTTTTATCCAGTTTCAAAATTTAATTTTCCTGGTTTTTATAAAAGAAATCGAATTTCATGGAGATTCATGATATGCAAGAACATTGAAAGAATAATCACCAAACCGTAATGTTTATGTAAATTCTTCATCGTAGACATTATATTACGAGAACAAAATTTCAAGATAATTTTTCATTAATTTGATTTCGAAGCATATGAGTACTATTAAGCATACTTGGTACGTTTATTTTATTACGTTTTGCAAGTTATGCGGCGCTATGATTACAAAAGCAAGCGCGGTATAGGAATGACTTTAATAAATCTTAATTTTTCTTTCATTTCATGAAATAAATTATTTCGATTCTGTTGAATTGTGATAGACGTTGATTTGATAGTAAACTATGTCGTCTTCTAAATAAAGACACTGTTTCTTGAGAATTTGGCTAGGGAACAGGAAAGAAGTGTTCTAGGAACAGAATTATATTGGAGTGCACGTCATTCGCTTTAGAATCTCCGAGGAGCGCAATTTTCTAATAAAAATTTTAAACCGGAATAAAATTTCTAACACACTGTACCCGCGGGAGTTATATCTACCCCAAACGGTCTGCACTCGTTCCTCCATATTGATTTAAATTATTAATTGCTAGCTTTCCCTCGACGAATGGGGAGAACGTTTAACGGTTACTGCAGAAACACAGGCACATTTGACCAAGAGTTGGCTGGTCATTATTTATAGATCGTACGATAACATGGCTGAATTTCTACACTTCCAACAGTTTACTTTGTTCTCGATCGCATATCGCGATTATTTTCCGTCCTTGTTAACCGCCGCTTTACAGCTGTTGTATTTTCACGTTCCTACAGTGTTTCACTTAGAATTATGCAAAATTGGAATACACATTGAAAGGGATCCGAAATGTTTAAAAACTTATTTTAGTTTCAACCAAAACTGTTTAAGACATAAATAGGATAGTTTCCATCACTATGACGCCTGGATTTGTATTGCTACTATTAAACATATTACTTCGTGCCTTCAATAGTTTACAATGTATTCGTTTGTTATCATCACGCGTGGATACACATCGTGGTCCATGTAGTTTTTTTTCCATAAAAGGTGTAATGCGTCCCTTGTATTTAACTGCAGTTTATTTTGTTCAAAGTGATACCAATTGGATAATACGAAGACAGACGGAGGCAGTTATAAAAAACATAAAAAAAGAAAGCAAGTGTCTGTTCGATAGACTTTAATGTTAAACTAAAATCAAATGTACATATATATGGCAGTAGTTTTGTAGAAGTTAAGGATAATCACGTTAGAAACTCAGAATTTCGCATGCACATTTATCTAGACTTCAAAAGTACATTGTAAAATTTACAAGGTTATTAAATATTAAGTGTAATGTTGAAAGTCTTTCGGAGGATCTTTGGAGGACTCTGATGAAGATGTTCAACCAAATGCAATTAAACTGAATAAATATTCTATGTTTATATACTGCAAAGGTATCAATCTTTCTTTTAATCTAGGGTGTATTTTGAAGCATACTTGATAATCTTATTAAATCAAATGTCAAATGAAGTATTTGTGAATTATTGTCCTTGAAAATTTGAATCAAAGCAGATCCAAGAACCGCCGTCGCAGAAAAAACACATATGCAACAATAGTATCTTTATAAAACACAATTCTGTAGGTAGTACAAAAGAAAACACAATTCAAAAACTTTATTTTCAACGATCAAGAACAGCTTCCTACAATAGGTCAAGCTGGACCTATCATCCACCATATTGCCCATAGACGGTTTGCCAAGCAAAGCTTAATTATCGGTTTGATCGCGGAACAGTTTCCTTGAATATGTGTAAAATACGCAGTGTATATAATTTTATAAACACATATACTTGCCATAAGTAAATGTAAGTGTAAGCATTTTGTATTACTCGATGCAAGTGTGTTTTGCAAAAACTATACCGATAAACAGCGTCTTGTTCATGTTGTTAATGCAACGGGAGAGAACCGCGATCGTAGTCCGCATTTAAACGGTTAAAAAGAAAAGAGATGAGACTTCTCTACCCCGAGTACCCTTTGCGCGATCGCATGAATAAGCGTGAAACATGCGTAAACAGTGACCTTTGTCGGACGTACCTTCTTGTCCTCCGTCTTGCCCCGCGATGAAGTCTTGGAGAAGAGGCTGTCTTGGTCGCTGGTACTGCTGGAAACGGCAGGGCCTGTGCCTCGTCCCGTGCCGTCCTGGTTGAGCAGGGGCACCGTGCCGAGTTCCGGTACCGCATAATCGTACGATGTGTCAACTGCACCGTTCGCGTACACCGCTGTGGATGATATAGCAAAGGAGGAACGGGCACACGGTACAGAGGGGCAAAAGGTGGGCGGGAGAGGCGCGATGTATTGATTGTGGTCAGGCGAATGCTTTGTTGTTTAGTATACGCCGTACGTATATACCGGAGGATTCGCGTGTACTCGTGGCAACCATTTAATGTGTACTGGTATAAATATATACGCTGGCGCGTATATGCGTGTAAAACAACACGAGGCCGGATGGTGTGCACGAGCGCGGCATACCTGAGTGATTGATGTTGGTGCTCTTGTTGTTCAGCATCATGTCTTTCATCTCCATAACAACGGTGCTGTAGCTGTAGTACGGGGCGTACTTTAATGCTTGGTACGGTTCTTGGTAGTCGTCGAGCTTCACGATGTCCAGAAGACGATTGCCCAGGTCCCGTGGCAACGTCGGCAGCGAACCGCCGGCGTATCTGTTGACAGAAAGAAAGAGGAACTCGTTTCAACCGTCAACCACCGCGGGAATCCGCGTTAATATCGTCCGGGACCTCGGATGGAGGTCAGGGGACGTCGGGAGTTGAAGAACTGAATTCCCCGGATGCGCGGGGATATTTCATATTTCACAGTATCTTCCGTTCTGTGACGATCTGTCGGGGGTTTTTGCTTAACCGACTCGTATCTGTGTATCCGTGTCCCCTTAGAAATAAATCTACAAGGTTGGACTAGGGTTTAAATGTAGTTACAAGCGATCGTTCGGATGGTTTTCACGATGAACTGCTTGTCGCGCTGTTGATATCGTCGATTCCGATGAGATCTAACGAGGAGAGGTCGGAGTATTGGATTTATTTCTGAAAGTATCGTGATATTACCATGACAAACACGTATTGGTTGGTGAACTTTTCCATCTTTGAGACATTTTATCGTAATATACTTATGTAAAAATGCAGCAAACAATTGCTGATACGTTCTTTGTTCGGGGGAATACAGTATAACCGATTTCTTTCGTACATACGACCAATCGCACTTTTTTGAAGAAGAAAAAGGGTTTCTATATAGGATAGGAATTAATACAATAACTGTGAATTACAAATGTTCAATGATGTTTACTCATGCTGTCAAAATGAAAATTGATTAAAATTATTCAACATTCTTTTGTACTTCTCACTGTAAGAACCGACTCTTGATAGTAGCGCGGCGTAGTCTTCCGTCGGAAGTTGATGGGATATGCAGCGTTTGAAAAATAGAAGGCACGTGCAAAAGCAGATTTTTAGAATTGTCGCCGCGCTCTTGTCAAAGTTAGGGTGTTTAAAAGGGAAGCGCTTCACGATTGCCAACGCATTCGAAGTCGATCATCAGTCGCATTCGGTTCGTGACCAACACGGTCATTGTATTTAATAAACTGCATAACTATCACGCAAGTGTACTTTTGTTTGGAAACCATCCTGACCTTTCCGACCTCCCCTTACATCACTATATCCCAAATAATAATGAATCGATTTCATTGATCTTTCAATTTGTAACAAAATTTTGGAAAATCGTAACAACCCATACGAAATTACTACTTCTTTTTCTGAGAAATAGCCGTTTCCTTCCTCATAAAAAAAATAAAATCACTTTATACGTTGCTTCTGTCTACTAACAAAAATCATAAAACTTATCTGTACTTGATGCCTCCAAATCGGAATTACAATCTGATAATATCCAGTTAGAACAGTTTGCAAACTAAGCCTTGTATTGTAAATACGAATTCTGTAATTCTCCAGTTCCTATTTTCCGAAAGTAATCAAAAGCTTCTAATCCATGGTACTTCATCGGTCATACATACTCCGCGATAATCATCGTCATACGACCTCTAGTATATCAAACACCAGGTTATTACTACATTTCCGAATGGTTGCCCCTCGTTTATGATTGTTGTCACCTATGTTATTGTCCAGTTTAATGCCCGCGCTGCACGTCAGTCGTTTATGAGTCGTTTAAAGGAATAATAATAGAACCATACGCGGATAGTCCACTGCGTGCAACATCAAAAAATACCCGACATTAAAGGCGCGTTTCGCAGGGAACGGAAGTGCATCATTTTTCAAGTGGATACTCTTTTCTACATGAAAGTTACGTCGTTCAAGCTGGAGTGGATGTTACATATTCGTCAAAGGATGCTAAAATGTTCATGCACTCGAAAACGCGAGCAGCGACGCTCTTTTTTAGGACGTTCCCTTGAAACGGCGATATCAGGTTGCGCAAAGCGGCGCCAAGGTTGAAGATCAACGTTGAAACGTGGCCGAGTTACGAAGATTTCGTCTGGAGACATTCGTGCCATACAAACTCGATATATTGCCCGAGGATGTCCGTTATTGGACGTTATTGGACATCCACTAACGAGCACGCCGGATAGAAAGTTTATTGGACGGTGGTTTCCGTCACTGCGGAGAACCGTGAATGGTTGTAAAGTTGGAAAAGGATGCCACGACGTCTCCTGGTATTAGCGGATTTTTATAATCGCAACGGCCACTTTGGAATTTCGAAAATATATTACCGCCTCGTTCACTCAGGAATAAAATTTGGAATTGAAATTTTCAAGAACTTCAAAGACATGACAATTCTTTTGTAAGAGTATATTTTGTTAAGTTGTATCTTGCCGCGAATGAAAAAATGAATTAGAATGTGCACGACACATGATTTATGACTCTTTGAAATCGGCACTTGTATATTATTGTAGTTAGAAGTGAATACTATCGATGTTCCTTTAGGCTGCTCCGCGTCAATTTCATGCCGACGGTTCGCAAACATTGTTTCGCCGGGATCTAAGCTCATGGTAGATATGAAATAGGCACGGAACCGTAGGCCTATCTCGAATGTAAATATTATTAGTAGCAATATTTACCATAACAGCGAAGGCCGCAAATCTTTCACAACCGCGTCGTTTCCATTTACCCGTACAATACGTTCCTTATATTGAAATATTATCATTCACTTGCTTGCACTTGTAACGAGTAGGTAGGTATATCAAAGAGACAGTATGTACATCAATATTGAAAATATTCAATGAAGTGAAATTATTTCAAAGAACAATACCTAGCCATTGAGTTCTATTGGTTACATCCAAAATATGAAGATAAAAAAGTCATCAATTCGTCATCTTCAAATTCATATGATTTAATTGCAAATACACAATATGCCAATCGATGTAGTAGTCCATCGTTTATATAAACGAAAATGATTTGTTAAATTGGGCTTTGAATAAAATAATTTATGCTGATTTTTCATATATGTACATAAAGCTGTGGTTTCGGGTATTTGATAGGATCTTGGGCTCAAGTTTTCATTGGACTAAAGCTTCCGGTTAGCCAGCCAATTTAAAGGACGAACTATTGCTGATGTAGAACAAATATAGACTATGATGTACAAGGTAGGAAAAGTGAGAATTGATCAGCCTGGAAGGCTGCCAGGCCGTTGAAGGCTTAACAGTCTAGCGCTGATGGAATCCATTGTCAAAATTTCATTGGATCAAATCTTCCACATAACCGCCCAATGAAAAAAAAAGACTATTAGTGATTTTGAACAAACATAGACAATGGTATCTAGATATTGCAGAAAGAAAGATTGAAAATCGTTCAACAATCAATTCAAAGTATTTTCAATTTTGTTGTCTAACTGTAATTGAATACATTTTTTAAATTTATTTGAAAATATTTGAGAAACGCTAAAAATATTCTAAAAATATTAGGTTCATGCAAAAGTTTTAACGTTTTTTTATAAAAAATAAAAATAAAAATTGTCACTAGCAAAACCAAAAGTAACACCAAAGGAAGAAGTGTCCTTTATATAAATTATAATAGTTTGAAAACAGATGCCATTTTTTCGAAGAAAAGAATGTTTTTGTTAGCCACGTACAAAAAACGTCAGAATGTTTGCATCAACTCGATACATTTATTTCCCAATGAATATTAATTAAACATGTTCATATATTCAAACTACACATCCGCCCGTAATGTGTCAACATCTGTATATAAAAGACGATCATATAATCGCATGGTATGAATAAAAGGAATTATCATTGTACGATATGGTGTAAAAATTGTATTGATAAGATACCTTTCATCGTCTTCCAAAGTGTACGCCATCAATGCAGCGCCCTTCTCAACGGTGGCGCAAGTGGATCCAAGATGAGAGGGCGCCTTGCCGGTCATGGGACTGGCGAAACACTTGCGTTGCCTGTGCCTGGAGACAATTAGAAATATCGCAACGGCCAGCAGGAGGATCACGGCGGTTAGCACTCCGATCACGACTGCCATGTACGTCGGATCGTCGTGTTTCGCCGTGGAGACCGGAAGCTCGCTCTCCGCGGCGCCATTTTTCTCAACAAAAACGTCGCTCTGGATCGGCGACTCGGTTGTCGGTGCTTCCTCTGGCGTGAAGTTGCCGTGGGCCACGTCTGTGCAAAAATGAACGAAAAAAGGGAAAAATAAAACGCAACGATTCGCAACCGCGTCAGCCGTACTTCAAAAAGCGGACGGCAGATTTAAACGAGTTCGCTTTCTCGGTCGTTCGATGCAACCGTGGAAATTGTTCGAAATTGGGTCACTGAAAAATGTCACGACGAGCGCACCGTGCGCGCCGTGCTCCACATTCATTCTCCTTTTTGTCTGAATATTAAAAAACGGCCGTTGGAAGGGAGAAAGATCGTGGATCATGAATTTTTCTATGGGGTCGCGCCATGCGCCAGGCATGACTAAACGCCCTTGTTACGGCCCGAACATTTGGGGCAGAAAATATTAGCGGTACAAGCCCGCTGAGTATACGCGGAATCATTAAGCGGAAAGAAGGCACTCGAGTGAGTGCACGCGGAGCGCATAATCAAGCAGCGCGCGCCGGCTTTCGCGGAATTTTCCATTTGCTTGATCGATGGATCGCTGAACGATTCGGTTGTCTAATTACGGATTGCTCGTGGGTACCTCGTCGCAATAAAATTTTTAATAATGCTGAACTGGTTAAGTGATACGTTGCTTTCGAGAAATGGGGAAAACCAAGCGTAAGCAGATACTCTGGCTACTTTCATTTTCTCGTGATATTATGCTGTAATAAAGGGTTACAAGCTTTTTATTTTTGTGGAAATTATGAATT